CGTACGTACGTACGTACGTACGACGTAACGTACGAACGTAACGTAGAAGTACGTAGTAGTACGAGAGAGAGAGAGAGAGAGAGAGAGAGAGAGAGAGAGAGAGAGAGAGAGAGAGAGAGAGAGAGAGAGAGAGAGGGGGAAGCATTTGAGACATTTTTTTCTATTAAAACAAGATAAACTGAAAAGGACAAGGACTACCAATATTCAGTGTTTCAAAAATTGGTGATTCGGGCTTGGACCCACACAAGTCATTTGGACCCAGCAGGGTGCCAACCCGGATGAAAAACCTTCACGAACCATGCAAGTGTGTAAGTATGGGATTTTAATAATTGACCATAACGATTCATTTTTTCTTTGATTAATGATCACCAAATAAAAGTAGCTTTCATAAGGGACCATCTCCTCTAGTAACAAATACCAGCAAGAGTTGAAGATCCCTACAAACATCGGCCACATTTCACTCTCTGATAGCACGCACAGTGCTTAAAAAAAAAAAAGTACACCCAGTTCAACCTAGAATCAGTTATACCAAGCCAATTCCCATATGGAATCGGAAATCAGCCCGAGAATTGCCTGGTTCATTACTCGAAACAGCACAATCCATTAAAAAACTGGGATTGCTGAATTCTCAGACAAATCAACCCATTCTCCTGTATTTCACTGCTCATAACATTTTGAAACCCTTTTTAGGCCCACTTCCTTTTTTATGATTTCTCGATCATTTTTCCTCTTATGTTTTCAAATTTGTCCCATTTTGATCATTTGAGAGTGATTTGCAATATCCCTTACAATATAATTAGGATCAAGACCTGATTTTACTGAAATCACAGGTGCGAAATTTGGGGATTCTTTCCCTTTTCCAAACCCTGATCCGCCATTTTTTTTTTTATTTCTCTAGTTTTTCCTCTGGTTTCTCTCAAATTTGTTGCATTTTGATCTTCTCTCTTTGCTCTAGAAGATCCTTTATAGAAATCAAAAGCTCCAAATTTTGAGGCTCTTTTCCCTCTTCCGTCCTGATCTAGCATTTTTTATGTTCTCATTTTTAGTCTATTTTCTCTCGAATTTGGAACAGTTTGATTATCTCTCAAAGTAATATATGAGATTGCTAATAAAATTTTATGTCTCTTATTTTTAATCTATTTTCTCTCGAATTTTTAAGTAATATAAGAGATTGCTAACAAAACTTTATGACCAACCCCTAATCATTGAAATCATATAGACAATTGTAAAAATGATTGTAAAACAGAATTTTACAATCATTTTTTTGCAAAAGAAAAAAGAAGTTTACAATCATTCAGAAAAATGATGTATAGACAGAGTTTTTGGTTTCAAATGATTTACAATAGATTTAAACAAAAATACGTTTCTTTTAACTTAAAAAAATCACGGATTTAAAATGAGTTTCAGTTTGCACCTTCTTTTAGTTTATTTGTTCTTTTTAAAAAATTTATATTTGATCACAGATTCTGATCCGACTTGGTTCAGAAGGGGACCAAGTTGGACCCTGGTTCCAGGTTTTAAAAGATTGAACATGGATTACATGATACAAGACCAACTTTAACTACAATTTAATGACCAATACAGCATATCTGCAGTCTTTCTTAACCATCACATGATATTCTTTTCTACCACATTATTACCATGTTGCATGTGTGTTTGTCTGAGCAAACAAATGGAAAAGCACACCCACACACGCATGCACGCACGCACGCACGCACATCCCCACACACACACAAATATATATATATATATATATAAGAGCCATTTATAAAAGGAGTCATAGAGAAACCTTAGATGGGATATATGATCCACGGCCTAGTTGAATGAGCAGATTGGTATAGCCTCTTCTTAACAATTCTGCTTTTAATAGTTGAGAGTCAACTGCCTGGACAAGAGCATCGAAACAAGTGGTACCCACTGTCACAAATACTGTTTTCTTCGCGAGTACATCTCCATGTGCTTCTCCCATTCCTTCATAAGCACATTCTATCAAGTTCAGAATGAAGAAATATTCCATTAATTTACTATAAAAGAAAAGAACGAAAAAATAATAAAACCATAAGAGTAATTGCATTGCAAAACAATGAATAAATAGTCTTTCGAATGTTCCAGGCCCTAAAATTGAGATCAGTAAAGCTAAAAAGGATGAAGATAAACATGAGAGCTCATATTCATGTTCCTACATATATTCAAGCATCATAAAACTTTGGGTAGGCTGAGTTTCCTAGGACAGTAGAGAAGGTGGATTGAGGGCAGCATGACAAGGTGTTCCTTTCAATTATGGTCGATGATTCTCCTTATTCCTGAATGTTTCTTTCAAACCTTGAGAAAATTGATCAGGAGAAACCCTCTTGCCCTTCTTATCCACAATTATGTCCATGGTTGAGCTGCATAATGGAAAAAATGATGACCCAGTCTAATCTTCTGATTCACTAGATAACATTTTTCTGTCTTCTTCCTTTTTTTGTCCTTTTTGATAGATAGAATAAGACTGAAACTTTACCTGCAATCTGCACACTAAACATTAAATTTCTGTTATGCGTAATGAAGAAATATGATTACTAAAGTTATACGAGTAAGATGTTATGGTCGGGTCAACATAGGAAGCTTATCTGAGGACTTCACTGTATGTGGCGACAACTACGATTCATCGTTAGATGTTATGAGATGGGTTTTGCAGAGGACACACATGACTGTAGCCAGGAGTTTGGCACAAATCTTATAAATGCGACATTGGCTAGTGTTCCAAACTATTACATTTCAATATGTCATATGGCAACGACATACAAGGTGGAAAGCCTTTTCACATTTTTCTTGTTTAGTAATGTTAACTTGGGACTTGATCAGAACAGAACTCTAGATGTCACGTTGACGCACTGCCACCCTTACCACCTCTGCCTAGAGCCCGTTCCCAAAGCCTAATATTCATTCCTATTGAAATGTCAGAAAACTATTCTCAATTCAATTGACTAAGATTGAAGAATAGCTGGTCATATAAGAACGGAAGCTTCAGGATCAATATATTAAGGAATACCATTAAGACGCATCTAACAAAACAAGATATAAACAATTTAGAACCAACCCAGCTCCAGGCTAAAAGCTAAAGGCAGAACTTAGATGATAAGTGATATCAATACAGAATCCCAAGAAAATAAGTTAACATAATTGAAAGAAGAAATGGATAGTTTGTACCTCTTTTTATCCGTTATGTATTCCAGTTACCCTAAAAGAAACGCACAATAAAATGAATCAGAGGAAAATCACATAAAAATCACAAATAAAGATTATGAATAGATACCAATTGGTTTAAAATAAAAAAAATACAAACCAAAAAGAAAATAAAAGCAACAAAATTATTGGCCTAGAATGCTTAACCCGCAATAAACAAACAAAGAACCCCATATCACTCCCAATGTAGAAGCCAACAAATAAAATCAGACTAACCAAACAGAATACAAGATTCTCGCTACGCTTTGAATGACTAGAAATGTAGCATTAGATATTTTAAAAATTCACCAACGTATATAAATGGTGATAAAAATATACCATGCAATGCATGTATGCAAAACCAACAATTATTACTTGCATCGAATGTAGAGATTCAACAGCTAGAGACCCCAGAATTAAACCTAGTCCAAACATGAAAGAATTGATCACTAATTCAAAATAGTTAGCAATTCAATTATCACACTTTGATTTCAAATCCATACTTAAATCAGCTTAACTTAAATCAGCTTAGCTCCTCCTAAAATTATAACCCCACGAACAACAGAAGATAAAATTACAGGTACCAGAAGTTTCACCTAAGCCGCTGATTGGAGAGAAGCCTAAGATGCAAATCCACTAGCAAATAAACCAGGCAAATATTTCCAAAAAAATGAGAAGAAACCACAAATTTATATAAAGTTCTCCCTCTTGATCCCCTAGTAAACAGACACCCTTCTTGAGAAAAGCAAGAAGAAAAACACACCAACATTTCTCAAGACATGGCTGATTTAAACAACAATATTCATCAAACAAATCATGTGCATAATTTTGACATTGCAAAAGGCAATGAATGAAATCACAAATTAATAAAGCAATCATATTGCCTGTGATTAAAAAAAAGAAGAAGTGGGGAGTGAAGAAATTCAACCCATGCATCTAAATTTTAATGAGAGAGAGAGAGGGTTTAAGCACTGATGATAAGTCCAATTTGCAGTCTTGGGCAAACAAATGAGGTTCAGGGTAGACAAATAAACCCCCAAATACCACTTTCTCTACAAAAAGCTCCAATGATTTTGGACCATCACCCTTAAAAATCATGGCTACAGCAAAAGCCTAATAACAAAAATAGTTGTCCAGAAAGATACCATACACGTAAATTTTGGTGCAATCAATAAAGAAAAGTTCACTTTCAGAAAAAAAAAAGAAAGAAGCAGAATCAATACCAAGAGCCACCAAACAAATACCGGACTTCAACGCACAGTTCTTGTCCTATGACAACAATTTTAAAAGAACCATGAATGCATTCTCTCTCTTGAGAAAAATATTCAAATGAGATGTTTCCCATTTATCAATAAGAATAGCTCTTCTAAAAAATAAAAAGCTTCTTTTATTGCATCCAAAAGGTAAATTTATGGCTTGATTCTTCCAACTCCCTATCGATAGGTTAAGCAGGTTATATAAATAAATAAAAAAGAAACCAAATTTGAGAATCACAACACTACATTCAGCCAATAAAAAAAAAAAAGAAGGAATTCTAAACTAGATACACAATGGACCAGGAATAATTAAATGTTAAAAGCATTATCAAAAAAAGGAAATTAAATCAGTATCAGTCGTTAGAAAACAGAGATTCCCATTAGATAATTTCTCTATGGATACACATTAGACAAGTTAGAAGATTTTCAATTTCAACACCAATCAAAATAAATAATAATAAAATGAAGGTTTTCAATAAAATACTCATGGAAAACAAAAAATTGAAATATGAAAAAACTGAAATATTATAGACCTCGGGAAAAAATAGGAGGAAAAAACCAAGGGAAAAAAAATATTGGAGTAATTCTTACGAACAGTTGTACCCATCAAGAAGTTCCCCTACATATGAAGCATTTTTCGTAAATCAGGAGTGATAATCTTTGTGCTCTAAAAGTACAAAAGGAAGAGGTCCAAAATTTTCTATTTCTATAACTCAAAAACCACCATTTCTGATATATAATTTATACTTGGTTACCAGAATAAATAAATAAAATGCGTAAATAATCCGATTAAAAATCTCTTCTGAATAGGCACCCCATTAATATAAAAAAGTTCTGAAAAAAAAAATCCATCAATTATTTGGAGAGCATTGAAACAAAATCGTCTAATTTATACAGAGTACAAACATGTCCAAATGAATGCAAGCTACCCAAATTGGATTCAAATTAAAGCAAATCGACAAAATATAACGAAAGAAAAAATTATCAAGCTTCAAACCACTCACCTTATTGAAGTTCAATGAAAAAAAAAAAAGGAAGAGAGAAGCCTGGTTGGTGGGGAAGGTTTAGAGAATGAGGGAAGTAAGACACAGCAGTGTTCGGGTCACTGTGTTTAAGCTCCGACGGGCCGAAAACTTCATTGTAAGGTGCGAGCCATGAGTCAAGTATAAGGGCAAAACATCATTTAAGTGAATAACGGTGCTTCCAAACCAACAAGTCCTAGTCAACAAACACGCCCTTGGGATTTTGCTTTAAAATTTGGAAGTGGTTTGCACGAAGTTGCAACCTTAAACAAGAAGTAAAGTGTTATCTTCAAAATTTTGTTAGAAGAAGTAATTTTGATATCGATAATTCTTAGGATGCTGCAATAGTCTATTTTTATCTCCAACTATAAAATTTTAAACTTTAAAAATACTTCACATCAAGCAAATTTATAAGGAACAAATTTATATAAGGATCCTACCTTATACTATAAAACTACGGATGCCCTTCAAAAATCCATCGGAAAATGTACTTTTATTGTTGAAAAACCCTTTGATTGATCATCTCGACATCGAGATGTATAACTATGAAAAATAAAAGGATTTTAAGTCTCAAAAATATTGTATTTTACAACATATTATCTACACCATCCATTTTCAGGATTTTCATATGTTTGTAGATCTACTTGATTTTAACCATTTTAAAATTTTAAAATTTTATAATTAGATATAAAAATAGATTTTGAGATAATCCTAATAACATTTTACATCAAAAGTATATACCATGCTAAAATTTGAAGGCCACCGTACCTCTACACCTACGAATGCTTCTGTATGCCAAATGCACCCAATTTATAAATATAAAATCTTAAAAATAGACAGTAAGATAATGTGTAGCAGGATGTATTAGTTTTAGGATTTGAAATCTCTCATTCTCTTCATATTCTTATATCTCCATGTTGAGATGATAAATTAGAGGTTTTTTCGGCATCAAAACAATATTTTCCTGAATGAATTTGAGATGCACCTTAATTCTACAATGTAAGGTATCAACTTTATATAAACTTTTTCCATTAAATTTTTATAGTTTATTATAAATATAAAAAAATTATAAATTACCTGTATTTAGTAATGAGAACTTTAGAGAAAAAAAATTGTAAAGACGTAGGTGTCACGATCCCGTACCCTGTCACCCTATGTAGGGGTCAGAGAGCGGGGTCGTGACAGCAGGGGTGGCAATCATGTTGTGAATCAACCATGTCTAGGTCCGAGTCCATGTTTGGACCTGACAGGTCAAGTCTAGGTCCAAATAACCCAACCCAAGTTGGGTCCAGCAATGAACCCTTATTCGGTCGGGTAGGTCCAAATTGGGTCAACATGACCCAGTATAAAGTATATAAACTATGTAAATTATATATTCTAAATAATATATAAAATATTTGTTTAATAGAATTTTTAGACCCGGGTTTCGGTCCAAATGACTTGGAGCTGACCTAGGTCTAGGTCTAAATAAGACCGGGTTTGGGACCATGTGCAAGCAAGTGGGTCGGGTCTAGGTTCAAGTCGACACGAACTCGGTCGAACATGTTGTCACCCCTATAAAGAGGCATTAGCATAATAACATAAATATCCTGCTTGATAACTAATAGAAATGCTGAACAACTTGGAATCGTAAAGGATTTTTACCTTGGTTGCGGTTTGCATAGAGCCTAGGCTATAAACAATCAAATTAGAACCTACCTTCAAATAGTGTCGAGAAATATGGTTTCAACACCGGAAATCTTTTTGATAACCTTAAAATATATTTTCATGTTTATTTATAAAGTTTAAAGCTTCAAAAATAATTTAGATCGAGATTTATGAAAACTTAAAAATCTTGAAATTTGATGGTCCAAAAGTGCATTACAAAGGGACAGGGAAAAAATGGGATTAGCCCATTAGCTCATATGAACATACGAAGCCAACATCTCATATTGAATCTGGACCGATTTGACAATCACAAATGTCCGATAGTATTTAATTTTTAGTTTTTTTTATATAAATACAAATCAGGAACGTGTTCATAAAAAATACGTGAATCTTCAAAAAATATATATAAACAAATATTTTACATTAAATAAATTGACCAAAATATCACCGAAATGTTTCAGGGGGTATTTTGATTATTTTGTTTATTGCAAATAATTTTTTTTTATATATTTTTATTAAGTGCGTCTTGATGAGAAGAACACACAACTAAAATTTCAAGTGATTTAGATATGTAGAAAAATAAATAAAATTAAAGTACGACCAGACATCCGTGATCGTCAGATCCGTCCAGATTCAATCTGGACCGTTGAACTCATATGTTCATATGAGCTAATGGGTTAATGCCATCTTTTCCCTATTTAAAGTAAAATAATTACCCATACATTACAAATACCATACATTTCAAATATTGGACTGACGAGAGTTAATTTTAAATATTTGTTGTTCATTGCTTATAATTTGTTCATCCCCTCTGCAGTTTATAGATCATGGGGATATTTGATACATCATGTTTCTCACTTATCTTTTGCCATTTTCTCTCTTTTATCGTATAATTTTTTTTTACAAATTGATTGATTTTTGGAACTTGTCCATGAGGTTTAGAGAGAGAAACCAAAATTTACAATTTACTTGATTTTTAGAACTTATACACGCGGTTTAGAGAGAGAAACTTAAAATCTCGAGTTGGTTTAGAGAGATAAACTTAGAGAGAGAAAGATGTGGTTTTTAACTAGGGGAGTAGAGGTAGTTTGCAGGAGGAGGGTGCATGTGGGTCATTGAGAATTGGAGTGAGGGGCACCACCGTTATCGCTACTTCTCTACTTCTAATGTTAAAGTTTGGGCATTACACAACCATTCCCATTCCCTTTTATTTTTGCTTGGCTGAAATGACAAAGTTTGTCCTTGGGTAGAGAGACAACCAATGCACTTGTGCGTTTTTTTTTTTTAAGGGCTTGCATTGTTAATCATCAAACATCAAACAACTAAAATTAACCTATTTCATGTTTGGTATTTGAAATGTCGGATAACTTTTTAACTTTTAAAATTAGCCATCTTTTTGTCCAGTAATTGAATTATCCAAAAATCAACTTAAGAACGAGGTGGTGCTTGTTATTTAGGGCAAATGACTACCCATTGCGTAATTGACCCATCTCAAAAGTGACCGTACATAATTTTCTCTTAATTACTATGCATAGGAGAAGAGGTGGTGCTTGTTATTTCGGACAAATAACTGTCCATTTCGTAATTGACCCCTCCCAAAAATGTCCGTACGTAATTTTCTCTTAATTTTTAGGTAATCTACATGTTTAAGATAGTGTAGGAAAAATTGGGTGGTTCAAATTTTAACCTCCTAGTTGGCCCGATTAAATCGTAAATGGCCACTGGTTGGTTCCAATTTTGGCCGATTTTGGTGATTGGTCGGGTATTTAAAAAATTGAAAAAAGTTATATAAAATCTAAAAAAATAAATATTTTTCTTTGTAATGTATTTTTTAATATGTTTCATCATTTTAGAAAATTTTGGAAATTGTTTTGACAATTAATATTTATTTTTTGTATTTTCTCATCTTTTTTGAAAAATTTCAAAATACTTCTGGATACAAATCGATTCATTAAAATATATTTTATTTATTAATTTTTAATTTCATTTAGATGTGCTTCGTTTAATCATGCTTTAAATACAATTTTTATGTTTTATTCAATTATTATTTTTATTTTTTAAACACTTTTTTGACTACCCTTTAGACCGGTTGAACCACTTCAGTTACCCGTTCTTATACGATTTTGCGAACACTGGTCCGAGAGGTCCAGGAAACCTTTTTTCCCAAAGGGAAGGACGTTTGTAGGCAATATCCGTAATTTCGGTCCAAAACAAGGGCAAATCGGGAATACAAGGCATGAACCCTACTGAAAAAATTTCCCCCTCTATTCGTCTCTCTTCCTTCCCTCCAGTCTCTGTCAAAAGCTGAGGCGAAACTTCAAACTTTCGTCCCTGCAAAACCCTAAAGAACGATACCTGCTCCGGTTTCTACTCTCTAATTTATCTCTCTCACTCTAAAATTTACAGTCTTGCTCTTTTGTTACTGGAAAATCTCGACCTTGATGGGGATTTTTGAACCTTATAGAGCAATTGGGTACATCACTACTGGTGTTCCGTTTTCAGTTCAGAAGCTGGGAACAGAGACTTTTGTAACTGTCAGCGTTGGAAAAGCATGGCAAATTTACGATGTAACCTTTTGTTCCCGTTATTGTTCCCCTTATTTTTATAGAGAATTCGATATCTCACTATTGTTATTGGTTTCCTCTATTAAATATGAAAGCCTGATATGGTTCACTATCTCTAGGAGATAGCTGAGTTTTTAGGGTTATCATTTTTGGTTAACGGCACCTGTTTTTATTTGGAAACTAGCGGTTTCCTGGTTGATTTGCAATTTTTTGGCGCAATATATTCTGCATTCTAGGATCTTTAGCTCGTTGCCTGAGGATGAATCTCACAAATTTTATTTTAAGATTGCCATATTTGTGAGCATTGGCCTAAATTATAATCTCATAAATTTGAATTTGAGATTACTATGTCTATAACTATGGGCACATTGCATAAATTAGATTGCTTCAATAAAAATGCTATATTTGTAAATTATAAATGAGGTTTACATGTACAGAGCTGTTTGGTTGTACTATTTATGCTGCAAAATAATGGTTGCTGCCTTTTTTTTTTGCAGTGCTCTAAACTGAATTTGGTGCTTATTGGTGAGTCTCTTGGTTCTTCAGTTTTATTTTGTTTAGTTTGATGGTGCGTGCGTTTTTATTGAGTTTGATATTTATTTTATGTTTGTAGTTTTACTGATTGGGATAGTTTTCTGATTGAGTATTCTCTCTCTGTATGTTTAGGTTGATTGAGTTTGATATTTATGTTATGTTTGTAATTTTACTGATGGCGATAGTTTTATGATCGAGGATTTTCTCTCTCTGTATGTTTAGGCTGATTGACATTGTTTGCCTCATCACTAATGTGAACTTAGAGGCTCCATGTAACCATTATCATTTCATTTATTACTTGTTTGTAGGTTCAATATTGATAGATCATGCTTTTTCTAACCGGTTCCAAATGCATGCTTTGGATATTATGGCATTAAGTTTAAGTGATGCTTAAATTATTTTTGTCCAATTCGGTGAGATTGTGTGGAGTTTAATTTTCTCTCTAACTTTTTTTCTAGAAGGAGGGTGACAGTTATTTAGTGATTCAAAAAGCGGACCGCCTAGCGCGTAGGCGGTCCGTGCCCAAGCCTAGGCGGCCAATCTGGGCGGCAGCTCCTGGGCGGCCGCCTAGGCGGTACGGAACCCGGCTAGACGGGCGCCCAGCGCCCAGCCTAAGGCGGCCGCCCAGGGCCTGCGCCCGGAACCCGCCTAGGCGGGCACCCCGCCCAGAGGCGAATTTTTTTTATTTGGGTATTGATTTTCTTTTTTAAAATATAAAGGGTTAGAATAATGGTTTTAAGTTCATTTGAAATCTAAAACTTACGGAGCCCATTTTAGAGAAAGCCTCCAAATAGTTTTTGGTGATTTCTTTAGGATCGAAGGGTTTCTCAAAGTTGACAAAAAATGATCAAAACATCACTTGTTGATATTAGATTTAATTTTTGATGTTTTATAAATCTATTGGGGTTTTTAAAAAGATTTTAAGTCCTTAGAAGCATCTTTGAAAGTTTGAAGATTGAGCAATCAAAATCAAAGTAAGTGCCTTGAATACCTAATTTTTATTTTTTATACTATATATCATTTTTTTATTCGACTGGGCATCCTTTTTGGATTCGACTGGGCCGCCCAAGTTCTAGGCGCCCGCCTAATCGCTGGGCGGCCTGGACCCCTAGGCTGCCTAGGACCCGCCTAGCGCTTTTTGAAACACTTTCAATATGGCATGTCAACACAACTAATAAGTAAAAAGGGATAATGAAACAGAGGACCACCATTTTCCTTGGCTAAAACATCTCATATCACCAGCACTTTAAGGCACATGGAACAATTTACTAGCCAATAGGCGCATAACTCAGTAACTTTTGCCATTAAGTGGGTAACTCTCAAATGAAGCTTAAAAGAGTTTTAAATTATTACAAACTTGCGAAAATACATATGCCTCTGGAAAAATGGTTGTGCACATAATTTATCTGGAGAAATTTTGTAATTTGATAGAAAAGGGACTTTTTGAAATGAGCTCAAGTTATGAAACAAAGCCCATAACTTGTATAATACATTATAGGAAAAGACTCATTATACAAGCCTATAACTTTTATAATGTATAATAGGAAATTGCTTGGGATTACAGTTTTTTTTTCTTTTTAATTTCATAAGTGATGGTTTGAGGATAATGCAGAGAAAATTGCCTTTGCCAAACCACATAAAGGGGAGGGAATTAAGAATCTCAGAACTCAAAATATGGCACTACTGGGCAAATGGTGTTGGAGACTGTCTACTTTAAACAACCAGCTGTGGATTGATGTCTTTAGACACAAATACCATCTCCCGAACTCTCCTTGGTTGCCGGATCTTAGACCAAATCCAAGGTTTCAAAAAACACTAGGCGGCCCCTAGGTGGCCTGCCCTGGTGCCCAATGCCTAGGTGGGCGCCCAGAACCTCGAGCTCCCCGTAAGTTTGAAAAAATGAGAAACGCCTAGCCCGCCTATGCGCCTATGCCTAGCCCGCCTGGGCACTCGCCTAGGCACCCTCGCTTAGCCCGCCTGGCAGCCCGCCCAGGTACATCCGCCCTGGGCGGACGCTCAGATACATCCGCCCGTGTAGGGCTGCTTGGGTTTAGCCGGGCAGATTTTTTGGTCCAGGCCGCCTAGGCACTAAGCGGACCGTTTTTTAAAACATTGACCAAATCATAGGTCATCTGGTATTTGGAGTTCTATTTTCTGAGCTTTATTTTCAAATCTCACATAAGATTTCACCCGAGAGCAGGAAACCACATCCTTTTTTGGCACGAACTTTGGCTAGGCCATTTTCCTCTTAGGGATAGATATCTTGATCTTTTTTCTCTGGCTAGAAATCAAGAGGCTACGGTAGCCCAAGAAATGCTTTCAGCTGGTTCATCCCGCTCTTGGAACCCAGTCTTCAAAAGGACTCTCACGAACCTAGATATTGGAAACTTTGCCACCTTGTCTGCAGAACTTCAATCTTGCTTCCTCTCCCTCTCGGGTCAAGATCAAATTATTTGGTCTCCATCCATGATAATCTTTTGGGCAACCAATCATCAGTGTTTCAAAGGAGTTGCTGCTTTGGCTTTCAGCCAAGACTGGACAAATATTTTTAAACTCCATCAATCACGGCTGCAAAGGGCTTCCCTGTGGAAACCCCCTCCTCCGGGCATCTTAAAACTGAATTTTGACCGGTGCTCTCTTGGCAACCCTGGCTTGTCAGGGATAGGAGATCCTCAGAGACAGCCTCTGTACTACTGTGGCTACAACATCTAAACACATTAGCCACAACGGCTCCATGGAAGCTAAAGCACTATCTCTCTTGGACGGCCTCAAACTCACTCAACCACTTCACCTGCATTCGCTTGTAGTCATAGTTCCAAAAAGCACTAGGCGGGTCTTAGGTGGCCTGGGGGGTCCAGGCCACCCAGCACCTAGGCGGGCGCCCAGAACCTGGGCGGCCTGGTCGAATCCAGAAAGGATGCCCAGTCAAAGATGCTTCTAAGGACTCAAAATCTTCTAAAAAACCCCCCAATAGATTTATAAAACATCAAAAATTAAATCTAATATCAATGGATGATGTCTTGATCAATTTTTGTCAACTTTGAAAAAAAAAAATTTCCACCTCTGGGCGGGGTGGTCGCCTAGGCGGGGCGCAGGCCCTAGGTGGCCGCCCGGCAGCCCCAGATTGGCCGCCTAGGCGCTAGGCGATCCACTTTTTGAATCACTGCTTGTAGTGGAGGGTGATTCCAAAAACACCATTACCTGGGCAAAGTCTTTCTTCCTCACCCCCTCCTTGGTCTTTGGCACACGCCTTTGACGGGATTGATCATCTTTGCAGGAATATGTCCGTCGTGTGGATGCATACTTGCAGGGAAGGAAGTCAGGATGCTGAATTCCTAGCTAAAGAAGTTGCGGCAATGGCTAACGTTTAGATCTTTTTGTTTTGGTTTTTTGGCCTTTCCTCGTATTTTTCGAATCAACCTGTTTTCCTAGGTTGTTGTGCTTCACTATAACCTCTTAAAACAGGATTTTGATTCTGCTTTTTGTTTGTTCTCTTCTTTGAGCATCCTTGCTTGTGGATTGGTGTATTATTCTCTCTTATATATTAAAGGTTGACATTATAAAAAAGAAAAAGAAAAGGGGTCAGAGGAAATGTTTCCAAGATGAGCTGCATTCCAGTTTTATAATTGGGTCGGTCTGCTGTGGGATTTGTGCCTGGGACATGGTGCTTCATATGTCAACATGCTAACCATCACACGCAAGGTCCTTGCATCAGAATTATCATCTTGGTTGCAATCGAGTTTAACTTCTGTTGTTTTCAATTAGTTCAGGGTTTGCCTGCTTCAGCAATTACGAAATAATTGTGTTATCTCATGAGTATAGGAGATGTATCTGAAAGACCCATATGATTGAATGAATCTGAAATGTAAATTATCAAACTAGTTACCCATAAAGTTTCATGACGTATATTATCCTGTATTTGCTTCATGGAGTTGCTATTTGATGAAATTGCTAAAAAATGGTGCCTATATTAATTCTTTGTTGTCATGAAAATTCTTTTTGAAGGACCTCAATTGCCAAAAAAAATACGAGCTCTTGCATCCTACCGTGATTTCACATTTGCTGCAACTGGGAATGAGATTGCAATTTTCAAGCGTGCTCATAAGGTTTGTAAACTATCTTACCAGGTCTAAATGGCTTCGTCTTTAGCATTCATGGCTTGATATGTCTGAATCATGTTTCACAAGAATGACTTTCCTAGTTGGTCAAATCTTCTGTATGTAATCGATCAATAAAATAGCGTCTTCCACGTTCAGGAATTTTATCCCATCCTTGAATTGATAACACACCCTTAACTTATTCTCTTTTCAATTTCTAGGAGTTTTAGTGCGAGGGTCATATTGGGGCTCTCGTCAAGCCCCTTTCTAACCTCTCTTGGGCAAGCTTTGCTTTCTAGCGCAAGTCTTATTTGTTCATTGTCATGTGGTATTAGTAATGCATCTCCATGAATGCCATTCACACCAAAGAACACTTCTAAATCATGCAACAACATTTTTAGATTTACTAGTTTAATATATGGATCTTTATTTTTTATGCCTTTTTCATCGATTTAATTATTCCTGATTTAATGCAATTAACTCTGCCTTCATCAGGTGGCCACTTGGATCAAGCATAACGAAAAGGTTAATATGTTGCTCTTGTTTGGTGACCATATTCTGAGCCTGGACATTCGAGGTAATCTTTACATATGGGCATTTAAAGATCTTGAAAATAGTGTTGCCCCAGTAGGGCATATCCAGCTGGAACAAAATTTTTCTCCAAGTTGCATCATGCATCCAGACACTTATCTGAACAAGGTAAACTCTTGTACCGTGTTTCTGTAGTACATTAGAAGGGTGGAGTTAGGATGTGATGATCTCCACCACATGCAAGCCCATTGTGGCTCCTCAAAATCCTTTTTTTTGATGATCGAGAACCCAAAAATCGCTCTAAGCCCCTGCAACTCCATTTCCAACGACAGCAAGGGATTTGGATCTCGTAAAACATTGCAAATTTGACTGCTATAGGGTCCAATTGAAATGGACGATCCATTTCATATGTTTTGATGGCATCCAAGATGGAGCATTTTTAGGGCTCCAAATCCATTTCTTTTCATCAGATTGGCAGATTCCTGTTCTGGGTGGAAAAACAAATGTATTTGCAGATTTTTGGTCCCCCAACACCCAAAAATATGAAGAAATTATAGGGAACACACTGATCGGCTATGATCCCCCCCCACATTAAATAATTTTCAATATTCAAAATCTTTGTTGTTATTGCTTTTCCTGACTTCTAAAGTAAATTATTATGTTCAGTTTGTCATCTGAATGGTTCTCTCAAATTATTTTGTAAGAGAGGACTTATTGACATGTTGTGGAATGATATTGCTGTATAGGTTGTTATTGGGAGCAGTGAAGGTTCCTTGCAGCTTTGGAACATAAGCTCACAGAAGAAAATTTATGACTTCAAAGGGCGGAATTCAGCAGTTCACTGCTGTGTTTCATCATCTGCCCTCGATGTTGTTGCAGTGGGTTGTGCAGATGGAAAAGTCCACATCCACAATTTACGATATGATGAAGAAGTTGTCTCCTTCACCCATTCTACTAGAGGTGCTGTGACTGCCTTGTCTTTTCGGACAGGTAAAGTCCATAATATTCACGTATTACTTCTGGTGTAGCTGTGCTAATTAGATGCTTTTGCAGTCTTTGATTCCAGTATGTGCAAACTTTTATTAAAGGGAAGAGGCATTAGAAACGATTAGTATTAAATTCACAATGTCCAGGATTCAATCTCAGCTGACGTACCTGCCCAAAACAAGGTGATCATTATGAATTGGCTTGGTTTATGAAACAAAGTAGAAATGTTGTCTGTTGAGGATTTTGTTTATGGGTTTGTGGCTATCCATTGGAAATGGGACTGTTTACGCCAGTTAAATTCTAGTTTTGGCCAAACTGATCAGATTAGCTGTATTTCAATGGATGAACTGTTCTTCTGTTCCTCCTTTTCTGTTGTCATCTTAATGGCTCAGAACCTGTCTGAGCTCCTCTCTGATGTAGTTCGGTGGGATCCTAATGGATCCATTGTTCTATCTATCAAGAAAAATGTGTATATTTATTCTATGGGATAATCTAAACTTCACAACCCTTCAAATTATAAAGGTTAAAAGATAGAGAGAGTTGTGAATGGTGGATTTACTAATTCTGTAGTCTATTTTTTAAAAAAAATTTACTTTTCGTAATATCTTCATCGTTAAGTAAGGACAATTTTGTAAATCTTACTACAAGACAAGGGATACTTTTGTAATCTCCATAAAGGGTAAAGTTGAAATTTTTATTAAAAGACAAGGGCACTCTACAAATAAAATTCCAGGGCACTAACTTCCAAAATGCCATTGTATTTTTGTAAAAATTTCAAATTTGCCCTTGCTTAATAGTTATGTTACCTATTAAAATAATTTTTTAAACAAAAAGTAATCATCGTTTTGATATATACACCCATCACAACCTCCTCTAACTTTAACCTTTGTATTTTGAGGGGTTGTTAACTCTAGACAAACCCTTATTCTATTTACTATTATAGTAAAGTCAAATATTTACATCATGTATTTTCCTTTAAAAGAACTAAGACAGACAACTGCTGTTTGGGGCCAGATTGTTGAATATAACCCTATTACCCTTTTGAGCTGGATCTCAATGCCTGCGGATTTATTTATACCTGTGATCTAATGAGTGATTATTACTTTTAAGTCTTTGATTCCTCTTGAACTTCATATCTAATTTTGCATGCTGGTATTGCATTTGATAGATGGCCAGCCCCATCTCGCATCTGGGGGTTCATCTGGTGTGATAAGTATATGGAATCTTGATAAAAGAAGGATTCATTCAGTCATAAAAGATGCCCATGACAGCTCAATAGTGTCACTTCACTTCTTTGCCAATGAGCCTGTCCTCATGAGTTCTTCAAGTGACAATTCTATAAAAGTGAGGTCCTTATTTATATTTGTCTTGAGTAGCTGATAGTTATATTTAGATCTTTAATTTTCATTTGTTAGTAAAGTCTATTTAACTGGTATTCGGAACTATTCACATTTTTTCACTATTACCAGATGTGGATATTTGATACAAGTGATCAGGAAGCACGTCTTCTACGTTTTCGAAGTGGCCATAGTGCTCCTCCTCTATGCATAAGGTGAACTGACATGTTTCTAAGCTTCGTATATCATTCTAGAAGGGTACTTAATAACTTTTTGTTCCTGCTTCCAATAATTCCTGTACTTACCAAAGAGAGAAAAGAAGAAACAAAAACACTTTGAGATCAATTGATGAGAAGGCAATGCTAGGGAATCGCCCCAATTCATGGGCCCAATTTTATTCTTGTTGTTCAATACCCTGGGCTATCCATCGTGTCAAGTTTCAAAGGCTGTCTTGTTTTTTTGTTTGGAAAAATAAGGATAGATGGATTGGCATTAGCCTGTAAGCAGGACTATAAATGTGTTTGGTCGGGTCTGGGTCAATCACAACCCGGCCCTGACCTGGACTGGGGTTGGGTCCAAGTCAATTGGTTCTGGAGCTGACCCACGGGGTTAGATCTGGCTCTATATATGAAAAATTATTAAACATATATAATGTGAGCTAAATCTCTATAATATATAATTGACATAATTTAAATATGTATTATGTGTATATATACTGGTTGGGTTGGATTGGGCCGACCCAGATTCAGATGCGACCCGATATGGTCTAGGGAATCATGTCCCATGCACCTTCCATTTAGAGAATGGATGCATGGGTAACAGGACGGTTGTGGCTCTTTTCCTACCATTAACTTTTCGGTTTTTGGTTTCAGAGCCAGAGAAGTGTTCTGATATTTAGAATTTTTTTTCTGGTTATCCCAATTCAATACCGGAAAGAGGGAGGTTTGGAGGAGAGTAGTGCCATTATCTATGGCCTTTGAGTGCTCCTGATACTTTGACTCCAATTTGATCCCTGTGACAGTTAGGTTCTGATTGGCAGGTTTCAGTAACATTGTAATCTGTTCTGTCGTTCTTGTACTTGATATTTGGTGAACAAATAACTGCAACTCAATCTGCAAGAGTATTTGCTCAAAGACACATGTTGGTGTTTGCTTTGGTAATTCATGGGCTCAAAGATAATTATGTTCAGGATTTAGTTGGATTACTGCAAGAGTATTTGGTCAAAGCCTTGTAATTCGTTTTTGTACAACCTGCCTTCATTTGTATAGGGGTCAAAAACTTGTAGCACTTCATTATAATATAATAAAGTCAACTTTGCTAATTTTTTTTAAAAAGATTATATTGGATACCTCCCCTGAAAGGAAAGAATTCAAGATTATATTGGAATATTTTTAGAAGGAAAGTCAATCATTCCTTATGAGGAGAGTCATTTTGACACTTAATTTGATATTGCTGATTGACCTTCATTGTGATTGACAACATAATTATCTTTTGCTGCTTCTTTTTTCTCCATGGTTGTATGTTTTGCCTCTTTCAAGGGTGTTTCCTTTGCTGCATAAGTGTTTTGGATTGGCATATAACTATTTAGGTTTAGGAAGGTTCATTTATTCTCAAATGCTGATATTTCATATTTCCTCTTTCTTTTATAAATAATTTCAACATAAATGCGTTAACTGTTATGGACTGATTTAGTGCTGTTATGGACTGATTTAGTGGGTTCTAGGGTTGGTGCTGTTATAGTGTTCTGGTTTTACATTATTCTGCTGAAGGTTGGATTGGTTTACTGCCAGTTGCTTTGGGCATTGTTTGAAATTGTGGGCAGTGGGAGCATCTCTGCTAAATCTGAGTGAATTATTGATTCCCAGGAGGACCTGGAATTAAATATTTGTGCTGGTTTTGTTTGTAAAATGCTGGTCAATATTGATTTAGTTGTTTTGCATTTTGTTCTACTGAAATAGATGAGTAACATGCTCTTTTTTCTTGGAACTATTCTGATTCGTTTTAGGTTTTATGGCTATGGTCGACACTTGTTATCTGCTGGGCAGGACCGTGCTTTCCGATTTTTGTCCATTTCCCAGGTGCCAAATTCTCTCATTCTCTTTGTGGAAAACATAAATTAAGACATGCGAATGAGTTAGCCTGTTCAATGTGCATCAATCTCAGGGCCTAAGATATTTATTTAGTTGCCAATTCATCTTTGACTATTCTAGCACGATTTACTTGAGATCATGATATCTACTATTCCTGGTTATTTATTAATATGCATCGACATTTGTCTGCATACATGCTTGTTCGCACTTGTAAAACATAAATTTAGAGTATTGATGGTACAATGGTACATAACTATGCTTCCCTTATTAACTAGAGCTCAATAAGGGCCCATTTGGAAGGAATGATGCCATTTTCTCTCTACCCATTTAGGAGTGAAAAGCTGTTCAGCTTATCCCCCCTCACCATTACAAGTAAGCACCCTTTTGTAACCTTGCTCATTAACGAAACCCCACCAAAAAGCTCTCAACTCTGAAAAAATTGTTTTTTCACATATTTCTAAGGAACTCACTTCCTTAGCGATGTTGTTGGCTGTGCAAACCAGACAATAAGAAACTTAACTAAATGGACATACTCTCCAAGCTGTTATCTGTATGAATTTGTATGCAAGTATGGGGATCTGTGGCAATGGCTTCTGAGGAGCTGGACTCCGTTTTACTTTTTAACATGCATTCTTAACTTTGGAGTAGTGATGGGATCAGAGGTATAGAGCTTATTGTTCGCTCACCTGTGCCATTGTAAAAACATGGGGTGAAAATGCTGCACTGAACTCTGCAAAACTAGTGATGACAGGCATAGTGTGGATAAGAATGATGCTAGATCTGAACATGTTTGTGCATGCCAACCGTTTCATTACAGCCCAAGAAATCAATAGTTTCGTCAAATTGTATTTACTTTCCTTGCTTTCGTTTAATATTCAAATAATATGCTTGATGCCATTTCTAATAGTTTGAACCTTAATGGGTATTGGAATGTATCGTGTTTGAGTAGGATCATCAAAGTAGAGAGCTATCCCAGCGCCATGTGTCTAAGAGGGCCAAAAGGCTTAAGTTGAAGGTATGGATTTGGGGGAAATTTTGTTCCTAGTTTTGTGCGTACAGTTCTTTATTGAATAGAATGCTGTTTCTTTCATTTTGGTGAGTTAGATAAAGGCTGTTTTGTTTAGATGCGCTTATTTCATTCTTTTTCAGGAAGAGGAGATCAAGTTAAAGCCTGTAATATCATTTGATTTTGGTACGCTCTCCCTATCAATTGACTTCAAATCTATTACATGCAACACATTCTTCCTGTTTTTTTTTTTTTGGTAGTGTAAACGGTAACACATTCTTCCTGTGCTGTAGTAATAATATGGTCATATGATGTTCTTTGCAATTAAATACTGATTTCTTCAGCTTTATGCATTTTGGGTGTATATGGTACATGGTGCAAACCTTTATATATTTGATTGGTTGCATTCTTAGGATCGATGTGTAGCTCTTGACAAATGCGGCCTGCTTGGATGTACTCGTTATCACTAATAATTCATTGTTTCAATTAAATTAATTCCGATAGTGAATTACCTGTTGTTTGATGATATCTATCATAAAATTAATAGAGATAAACTCTTAGGCAGTTATATATATAAGTTTATCTTTTAAAAACAACACAATCTATATATATATATATATATATATATATATATATATATATATAAGCTTATCTTTTGAAAAGCTGTTTTGACTTTATTCAAAGTAATTTGTTGAAAATCACATATTTTTGTCTATAAGTAGCTAAAAATCGTTGGAAGTTGCCGAAAAAGTTAAATAATCAAATAATACTATACATAATACATGAAAAGTATCAAACAACTAACAAAATAACATTATCCAGAGCATTGTTACCAAGATTGGATTGTACCACCTAGCCATACGGTTGGACTGCTGCCTTGGCTGGTCCACTCTCAAGCAAAAACCTAGTTTGTTCGAAAATTGGTCAAAAGTAGTGTTTGACCTGTTGGACCGTTGTTTTGACTAGTTCGACTGGCTAAACAAAGTTAGAGATTTTTTTCTCATATATTTCATTTTCATACTTTAAGCTTGTATTTTTATTTTTTTTATATTGTGTTAAAATCTAGTCCAACCGGTTCGAGCGACGATTGAACCGGTTTTGATTGGATTTGACCCCTCACTGGTTCGATGACCGGTATGATCCTGATAAATGGGTTTTAAAAGTGCCGATCTGGATTGGGAATCGATGGGACCGGTCTGTTTCCCACCATATCTTAGGAACCGACTTGTTCCTGCTAGGAATTGGCCAATCCAGCCCACCTTTTATTTTTTTATTATTTTTCAATTTTTATTTTGTTCTATATTATTTATTTTTCTATTGGGCGATTCACTTTGCCAGATCACCAATTCAAGCTATCAATCTTCCAATCGAGATCAAATTTCTGGATGGTTGATGTGAGTCACTTATCCTTTCTTTTTTAAACACTGCCGATAATTATGATCCATATATATTAATTTTAATTAAGATAGTCTAATAAAATTAATTGTCATCGAAACAGGCCCATGATTTGTAACCTGATCTACATTTTAGGGATATGTTCAATAGGGCTGGCCACCGGCCGGTTTGGGCCCTGGGCTTTTGGGCTGGCCTTGCTTTTTGGGTCGAATTTGAGCCAAAATTTAAGGTCCTCGTGTTGAGCCGGGGCCGAACTTTGGGACCTGTTTTAAATTTTGGGCCCTGCCCTGCCCCGACCCTGACCCCGACTGACATTTCTGCATTCTATATATGTAGATCATATATCGTATGGTCTATAAATTAGATTTTTTTGTAGTTCATATAGTCCAATTGAAAAATTGACCAGGATATGCCTATTTGGTCACCTTATGTCACTTTTTACCCCTCTCTGTAGTTGATGTGGTAGCTCATATTCCTCTATCTCTCATATCTTGGCATCTTACCATCATTTCTTTTCTGTGAAATTTTCTTCATCCTCTCTTTCTCTCTCAAATTAACTTCTCTCTCTCTCTTCCCAATTCAATTTCCCGTCTATTATTTCTCTGTAACATCCAGATCTGAAGCCTCTTCTGCTGATTTTCACTGCTTCTAGTTTGAACTGCAAAAATCAGAGGAAGCAATGAATTTAGAGATGGATTAAGACGCTGTTTTTCACGGCATTTTGGGTGTAATAGATTGAGAGAGAGAGAGAGAGTGAGTGAGAAAGAGAGAGAGAGAGAGAGAGAGAGAGAGAGAGAGAGAGAGAGTAGTTGTTCGTACGTACGTACGTAGTACGTACGTTACGTAACGTTAAACTAACGTAAGTACGTACGTCGTACGTACGTACGTAACGGTAACGG